AAATAACGAGAGAATACATTTGAGAAAATGTATTGCATTTAATCAAAAATACTTTGCCATGAGAAAAGACAGTAACACGCAGAGACCTTCCGTGCTGACCTTCCTTCCGGGCCGATCGAGCGCGAGTTTACATGGTCTTAAAGTGTCATTTTTTTCTCATTATTTATTTTACCCATAAAGCAATAAATAATATTTAAAAAACAATTTACAATTAATTATTTGATTAAAATTTTTAAATAAAATAATGAAAATATATTTTTACATTGAGCCTCATGGGTCCAAAAATGACATCACCTGATCAGCCAAATGCTATTTTCTTTACCTCGGTAATCCTATCATAATCAGACAATTTCATTAACAGAATAAATAAATCATGACAATGACATTGGTTACTAAACTATTTTTAACTCGACACCATACAAATGCAAGAGGCTCAGAAAACATTTCATGACGCACTGGCCAATGACAATCGTTAACATGTATGGCTGTTTCAGTGTTTTTTTTAAAGGATTTAAAGACACAATGCCTCTGAGAGGGTTTTATCATGCAAACAACTGAAGCACATCATGCTCATACATTAAATATCCACATTTTTTATCCCCCCAAAAAAGAAGACCTCATTAATGACTCATGGATTAGTCGACTCCATGTTAAATATGAAGTAGATCATCTGACATATTTCCATGTCTGTGTCCTGACAATTACAATGCAGAAAAGATCTGAGAGGAAAACTTGATATACGTGTGTATATGTGTGCGTGTATTCCTGTATGCATCCATGTTTCTCTGAGGTGTTCCCTGTTGCATACGGCATTCTAATTTAAGACTTCCATTCATATTCATTGTTCAGAAAACTGCTATTCCAGACAAAATCTGAATAATGCCTTCATATTCAAGTTCTCTTGTCATTGTTCTGTTGGTTTAATCAAACCCATGACTTTCCATTTACATATTTTCTATTTTATAACCTTCTGAGTTCAGAGCATGCCAATAACATACCATTGCGGCACTCAGAAAGCAGCATCTGAGGCCCAGGGAATGAGCGCCACTTGTTCAGCAGTACAAGAGGGAAATTGTCTCCCTCTGCAGCACACACAATATTGCAGGTGCTTAAATTATTCATCATGTACGAACGCTGGGGTCTCACTCAGAGCCAAAACTCCAGCCTCTTAATCTGTACTTTATATTCCATTTTATATTTTACAGCTTTGTTTACTCCGAAAGGGAGATAAAGAGCTTTTCTTTCCTAAGACATCTAGCTATGTTCTTACTGTTGACAACAAAGAAAACAGTTCTGTGTAATTTTCATATATCACTATGTAACATTTTCCGTCAATTGCCCTCACCTTGCTGGCAAACAGGCTTAAAAATTGCACACAATTCTTTTTTTTTTTTGTAATTGTGGTACAAACGAATGCCAAATGAATGTGCATAAACCAGTGCTTGCACAACTACTCCTTTTTAATAGTTAACTTGTCATCTAGAAAACTAATTGACTAGCTGAGTTGATTGTTTACTTTATGCAAATGATTCACCATATGCCATTTAGCTTTCTTTGCTGTTTCTGGCTAGCTTTGCTGATGGAGAGGGTTTGAGTGGAGATGAAGAATGTCAGTGCAAAAGCTCATATTTTCATTGTTTGCATTGGAAATTAAAAGTAATACATAGCAAAAAAGTAATGTTCCTCTTGCATTATAGTTTCTGTCAACATTTAGGCAACGTTTGACTTGGGTTTTGGTCAGTTCACACACATTTTGTCTTGTTTTTGAACAAACCCCAAATGAAGGCCAATCTAAATAACTATTTACGACAGTCAACACGATGAAAACTCTCTCCAAGATGATTCACTGTTACTATTATTATACTTGATCTGTAGATAAAGGTCTATGGTTTTGCATAAAACAACTTTATCTTGCTGGACCTTATTGCTGTAACTTCTACCGGGTGTCTGTTAGATCACAACACTAGAGTAGAGTCAGAGCACGCGCACAGTAACTGAAATTTAAAACTGTTAAAAGAAAAGGCTCAATAAACTATTGCATAGATACTGTATAATACACTACGCATCAATATGTCTTTCCTTAGTGCTTTGAACTTTTCAATGCGGACTTGACGCGCTGCGCGCTGTGACTCAATGTTGCTTCAAGAGCATCATTCTGCGCTCGGGATGCGCATAAGTGCTTTGTGCCGCACTGTATAAAGAGCCTGAGTCCCTCGATCATCCCCTCCGCTTCCGGCTCATGGGACCTTATTTCATAAAAAATATGTATGGTAGTCAATGGCGAGAGACAACTTATCTTTTTATTCCGTCTATTAACTGTGCCCTGAATTACACATATGATGTTTGTCAATTTAAAAGATAATTTTGAAAGTCAAGAAAGTCGCAGTTTGTCATAAAACAGAAGAGTAACATTTAGTTTTATGTGAAAATCGCTCAATGAACTACATCTACTGGGAAGCGAAACAACGAGCAAGATCAGTTTCTCGTATGTGTGCAGTCTGGTACAAAACACTCAGGCATGACGGCGTAACGTTACGATTATAACGTAAGACTATAGAAAAAATGATAGACGTTAGCTTCAGTAAAGTTGGCTTTATTCATTGAGAGAACAGGTATGACGTCACATGTGCGCCTTTTGGGTTTGTAGTCTTTGTAATTACGTATTTTCACAGTCTTATACCTCAACAGTTTTACATCAAACTGCGACTTTCTTGACTTTAAAATGTATCTTTTAAATTGACAAACATCATAGGTGTAATTCAGGCCACAATTCAAACGAGATCAAAATATTTGTTGTCTCTCGCCATTGACTACCATACAATATTTTTCCGAAGTAAGGTTCCATGGTGGTCCACCGGAAGGGGAGGGACTTAGTCTGTCTATTGGAGCCTTTCATATCATACAGTGACGCAATGAACGATTATTAATAGCCTTTCTTGTTCTGTCCTATCTATCATATGTTGCTGCCTCACAGCTGTGCTATACATTTAAAACACGTCTCAATTTTATAGTAGCCTAGGCTATATTTAAAATAATTTATCTTTTTGATTTTTGTTAACTTGTTTTTCATGAATGTATTTTACAACAATACAAAAAACAATGTGTAACGTTATACCAGATTTTGTGTTACACTTATTGTCTCTTTTGTTCCCCACTAAATATTTTTTTTCACTAAACGTTCAGATTTTATACAATAATTGTGTACTCGTGATTTTTCTATACTAAATTTTACTGCTGAATTATCCACTAATCTAGTTTATAATATAATTTTTGTCATAGATTATGATCATATATTTTTTTGATTTGTTGTTTTTCTTTATAATGAAGTTGTCTGTAATAAAGGTGCTCTATGTAACTTTTCTACTAAAATGAATCCTTTTTTTATTGCCTATGTGTGAAGGGGTTGTAATCACACATTAAAATGATCCACTTGTCGAGTTTTGCTATTACCTCTGAAGGCCAGTATTCCTATTTCTATGTGAAGTCTCCGGGTCGGATTTACCGCGAAATCCAACGGATGTGACGTGCATGCGCGCTCCCTTGCCTCTCTCCTTATATACAGTCTATTGTAGACGGTCAGGGAGTTACGTCCGGTTAAAGGCACACGTTTTTTTGCTTATATCTCAGTCAATCTTTGATCAATATTTCCAAGACTCTAATTGTTCGTAGTGCTGGACGGGGCCTTTCGAACGAGCCCATCCCCGAGGTCCAACTCGTCCGGCTCCCCTAGTTGTAGCCGTTCGAAGTCGGGGGTCCCAGCGAACAGCGATCCGGTAGGGGGCATCCCCTAGGCCCGCCACTCTAGGATTCGGGCAAGGGTTCCCCTGGGACCTCCTCCCCCGAATTTGAGCTCTCTGGGTCTTTGCGTTCCAGAGATACGAGCGATTTTCTTCTGAGATCGTGACGTCACCCGCGTCCGCAAGTTTGCAGCGCGCCCGATGGTTTTCTGCTAATATCTCCGCGAAAACACCACCAAAAACTATGGAACTTATATGGTTCTTTTCAGCTCAACTAGATGGTCCCAACGAGCTCGGTGCTCGCCGAATCCGTCAAGTATTCGCCGAGATATTTGCGTAATAGACGGTATTGTCTATAAGTTCGAGCACGAGCGCTCTTGTAAAATTTGGTTGCAATCTGAAACATCACCACTAGAGGCGGCTAAAAGTTACGTAGAGCACCTTTAAGTACATTGTGTTTAACACACAAAAGAGTGATTATCAGTTCAACACACAGAGCTATAGAAATTCTAGTTGATTTAAAAAAAACTGTACTGGTATCAGATCGGTATCGGTCGATACTCAGAATTTTTGGTATCGGATCGATTAAAAAATAAATAAAAATGGTGTCGGTGCATCCCTAATTTAGGGCATTTAGACTCTTATCCAGAGTGAATTACAAAAGTGTTTTAATGCCAAATATAACAACACTGTGATGAACAGATGACAAGTATGCAACTTGGAACCCTACCTGGGGTGCGTTTCCCGAAAGCATCGTTAGCCAACTATGGTCGCAAGTTCCGTCGTTACCAATAGAGTTCAATGGGATTTGCGACCAACTTGCGACCATAGTTGGCTAACGATGCTTTCGGGAAACGCACCCCTGTTTAGTTGAATGAGTTCATAAATACCCCATTGCGCCCTTTCCTTGGTATATATGTTTGTTGTCAATGATCAGGTTCAAGAGCTTATATTATTTGCAAGAACTTTTAAAATTGAAGTGGCTCTTTTTGCAAATAGGTATTGGTTCATTGTGCGTTCATACAAAAAAGTTCAACAGAACTACTGTAAGGGAATAACTTTTCTTTTAATCCGTTCCTGTTCTATTTCTATTCCCTCAGCCACCTAGAGCAAAATGAGAATACGACCCCTACTGACATTACAAACCAACGTCACAATATAGTCATCGTGGCACACAATGGAGAATGTTAACTTTATTAATGGCATGCACACTTATCCACTTACTCCAGTCTTTTTCAGCGTATTTATTAGTGACGTATTTACCCAGAATTGCCCAGTTCGGGTGTGCCCTTCTGTTTCTACTGGGGTCTTGCGGCTCAAGTGGTCTTGACCTGCCCTGGGAACCTCGCCCTGGGGCCACGGTGACAGGACTGCTCCAGGGACCGCCACCAGTCCCTCCCTCTGCAAAAAGACTAGTACTCAGTAACTTCCAAAGTTATTTTAAAAGACGCCAACTAAGATTAGGAAGTCCATATTGCGGGCTGTATTAATCGGTTCTGTTAAACAAAGCAAGAATAAATGAGTCGATTTTACAGATCTTCAGATGCTACTGTGATACAGATGATCTTGTTAATTAAATCATTTTTGCTATCATACTAATGAAAGTAATTTTTGCATTCAAAGTCAATCAATCACATTGCAGAGCAATTAACAGCACATCTGAAACAGACAATGCTCAGCTAAACACAAAGAAGAAGATCTGTACATTGGGGAGGCGAGGACAAAAACAAGATTAAAACCATGTAATACAAAGCTGGAAGGAGCACAAAAAGATCTGACAACCAGGAACACTCAACAAACAGAACAAGGGAGCTAGTCAGACCCAAAAACTGTGTATAAAAATGAGAAGAAGATGCATTCAAAAGCAAATAAAAGGAGATGAAAAGGTTAAAACAGAGGGAATCAGCATAAAGCAGAGGTAAAACAAAAGAGAATTATGGGAGTATAGTTCTAAACAAAACAAGAGCAAGAACAACAAGTTGAAACCCAGAATCTGAATGTGTACTTCTCTACTTAAAAAATATAGTATGTCAGATCAAAAGTAGTATGTCAAATGAGTATTATGTCCAAATATTTAGTCTTCATGAAATTGTAAGAGAAAAAGATGGACACTTTACTATTCCATGAGGCCATGGGAGAGGAGTAAGAGTAGTCATATTCATAAATAACGCAGAACAGCAATGTGGCTGACGTTGTACAGTAGGTCACATGCCAATGCCACCATGGTGGATGTACACTGAAAAAAAAAAAAAAAAAAGATTCCTAAGGTAGTATGTAACTTCATTGATTTTATTCAAGCCAAAAATAGTAAAATAACTGAATCAACCAACATACATTAGGTTACACCAACAAAAATTAATTTAAAGGTATTCAAAATTAATTTAAACATTCAAAAGTTTAGGATCGGTATGATTTTTAAAGTCTCTCATGCTCACAAAGGCTGCATTTATTTGATTAAAAATAGAAATATTATTACAATTTAAAATAACTATTTTCTGAAATAATTAATTTATTCATGTGAAGGCAAAGCTGAATTTTCAGCAGCCATTACTCTAGCCTTCAGTGTCACACGGTCATTCAAAAAGGATTTCAACATGCTGTATTTGGTGCTCAAGAAACATTTCTTATTATTATCAATTTTGAAAACAGTTGTGCTGCTTCATATTTTTGTGGAAACCTTGGTGCATTTTTTTAAAAATTCTTTGATGAATAGAAAGTTCAAAAAGAATTTGAAATAGAAATCATTTGTGTAACATTGTTAATGTCTTTACTGACACCTATGATCAATTTAATGCATCCTTGAAGAATAAAAGCATTACTTTCTTTTTGAAAAATCTTACTGATCCCAAACTTTTGAAGTGTATATTTGGTAGAAAAAGCACCTTAAGGTAACAATTGAAAGTTTTTACAGATTGTATTATTAATACTACACATGCATAAAGCGCACTTTATTAGCAGTCAAGTATTGCAGTATATATACTGACAGGGAACAAATTTGGATGCAGTGTGAGATATTGTACAGCGCAATACAGACAGTAAAATAAACTCCAAGAAACTCTGGGACACAAATTCAAGGTACTTTGAGATGTGATAAAGACCCCTTGCAAATAGGTTACATGAGAAATGCAAAAACAAAAATGATTATATTACAAATATAAAAAAACAAAAAAACATGACAAATATTTTTTAAAAAGTATCAAATTTATTTTCTAAGAATAACTATTTAACAGAGAGAATATATGTACTCAGCAGCAGTCTATGAAATATTGTGACTTGGATTGATGGATTAATGATGTCGCTGTGTCCGTAGGACGCCTTTGTACTTGACTTTATATTTCTAGCATAAAAAGGAGTGAAATGAAAACACAACAGAGGATTTGAGTGAGGGAGGTTGATAATTTGTAAGACTGGAACACAGCCAGGAACAGCTGGATACCAGGGCAGCTGATTTTTTCGTTAATTATTTCATTTATTTATTTCATTTTTTTTGTAGGTCCTGAATATTTGTGGAGAGCAGCTGTGATTAGATGAACAGAGAGAATAAAACAGAGGGATGCTCTGAGAGGAAGTGCGATGCGTCTAGACTGGTCCAATTGTAGGTCATGAAGCAAAGGCATGATTAGAAGAGTAGGAAGCACAGTGAGATGAAAATCATGTATTAATGTGTCTTGTCCCTGGCTTTCAACGTTCATTCATTTGCAACCTTTATCTTCCTTGTTCTTTCAAGCCCTGCCAGCCTCTCTTTTCCCCTCCCACCAAGCTTTCGCCAGATCCTCGGTGAACCAGAAGTCTTGGTGAGATTGTGCGAGCCAATTCCTCATTATATTGAAAGGCTTTAAACTCTGAGCAACAGACCACATTTGCAATAGATTTCCAGACAAAGCCAACATTTCTCAACTGTCTGGACAACCATCAACAATGGGGTGCAAAAGTCTGAGACCATTGGTGAATTGCTTCTAATTTGCATTTTTTTTTTCTAATTTAGTTTTATTTAGTAGAAACTGCATTTATCAGAAAAGCTATTTGAGTTAAAGTGTAAACCTGAGGACGGTTGCATAAACTGACGTTATTTTTTTCTTTAAGTCTGTTCATAACTTTTTTAAGTCAGTTACATAAAAACGTTGATTGGTCTAATACCGAATTGATACCGAAAAGCAAGACTGATTACCCCTAAATAACTGTTGGTTGGTCATACTAGTTCTTAAGACATGTCTGGCCATCTGTACAAAGGATCACATGATCAAGGTCACATTTACTTATTTGATTAGTGACCCAGAAATAGTTAAAAGTTATTTTTTATTTATTCATATATATATATATATATATATATATATATATTTTTTTTTTTTTGAAAACCAAGAAAACATTGTTTAAAAGTTTTTAAATCCCTGATTTTCAATGTGGTCTAAAACTTTTGGACCCATATGTTCCACAATACTGATGCAGGGTTATGACTGGCTTTCGTGAAATTTACTTTGTACTAGGTTATATAATATTTATTTATTTTTACCCAAAATCTTGTAAATATTTTTTCCCAAAGCATTTTTACAGAAAAAGTTTTAAAATAGTGATTAATGAGCAAGTTAAAGGTGACAGAAGAAGAAAAAAACCTAGAAAAACAAATATTATTCATTCTTTTATTATTCATTATTCAAATATTATACATATGCTATAAGAAAGAAGAGATTAACATTTTTAGGGGACAAATATAATATGTGTATCTAATAAACAATAAAATATAATTAATATAACAGAATATATACAAATTATTTTAGAAAAATTAAGTTTCGGCGTAGTCATATACAGAAGCCGCTAATAAATCCTTGATTAACAGGATTAGTTTCTCGAAATCCTGTCATGCTATTGCCTAAAAGTCCATTTGTTACTGTCTCCTGGGTGCATCCCTCCCAACTGTTAAAAAACAGAGTAATTATGTGGTTGCCCCATCTACCTGCTTCCTGACTGGCACTTGTTGCCTGGTAATTGTGTACATTTTGCATGCATCTGTGGTGACTGGCCGAGGCTGGAGCTGGCACAGACATCACCCCTACTGATTCCAGCTGTCAGCAGTGTCTATTAACAATGATGAATCACTCCCCCACTTCTCAATCCAATCATAGAGACCACAGCAGGCCTTAGATCTGGTCACCTCTGACTAAATGATTTTTGGACAGCGTGGGGCGGCACGCCAGAGCACCCGGTCGACGCTTTGTGTTAGATTACGCTATTAGCCTGCAGGCTTCTGAGCTTTACATCCTCCAGCCTACCCTTGTAGAACTGTGGTACTCAAACAGCAAAGCAAGACACACAACCAAAACATTTAGAGCTCTCCGTTTTATGTAGCTCTTTGTATTTATACTGTCATGCACAGACAAGACACAACAACTGCACATGTTGTCAGAACTAAATTATACCCTGGGTTTGGCTATGAGGAAAACAATCCATCAAAATTCAATCCAATAACTTTTTTTTTGCCAGTTTCAGTGTTGGTGCAATTACTGCATTTTGCCTTTGTAGAGCAATATAGACATTTATGCCAATTCACCCATAGACTGTATATTGTTATCAACTAAAACAAACTAAAATTAATTATTATTAAAGATAGTTTTCATTAACTGAAATGCAACTGAAATCAAATAAAATGTAAATAGATGATAAAATTTTAATTTAAAAAAAGTTACAAAATTGAAAATAGTTATGTTGCTTTGGCAACTAAAAGATGTTTAACTTGAAATACTAAAATGGCTAAAACTGAATTAGAAATAAATGAAAGTGAAATATAGAAATGACAAAAGCACATAACAAAATGATGAAAACAAACTAAAAATTAAATTGAAATTAAAAAATAAAATAAAAAAATAAAATCTAATCCAAAAAATTATTATTCTAATTATTAATTAATAAAGCTAAAAAACACTATAATAGAAAATAAAATAATACTAAAATAACACACACACATGGTGAGTTTTCATGTTTTATGGGGACTTTTCATAGACATAATTATTTATTGTGTCCCCTAATGCTGTCCTTAAACCCACCCATCACAGAAAACTTTTACATTTTCAAAAAACAAAACAAAACAAAAAAACCTAAAAAATGTGATTTATAAGCTTTTTTCCTTATTGGGACCAAGAAATGACCCGACAAGGATTTTATATATAACCATCTTTGTGGGGACATTTAGTTTACCTGAATGTCGTAGGGTTAACCTGAATGGTAATAACATAGGGTTTACCTGAATGTCGTCGTCGTCGCCCCCACTCTACCCCCCAGTGGAACAGTGGAAGCCATAACACTAAAAAGTTCAACAAACTGATAGTTAGTTTGAGATATCTGAGATATGCTACCACAGCCATTACATTTGCTAAAACGGACACACAGTATCGGATATTGGTTTTGCA